TGTGGAACCAAAAATAAGCGCTTTTGGTGGCTCATTTTCCATCAAAAGAATATGCATATGCATGTTGGAGCAGTACGGCGAAGTCGAATTACTGCTGTAAATACAAATGAATATGATTGTGTACGAATAAGATTGTAGGGCGATTTAATGGACCAAAACATTCCTGTTCATTTGAATATTTTTTTAATACGTGTACAAAAATATGCATTATATAATGTTTTTCTAACATATGTACATATATATATTTTAAAAAATATTAGTGATAGTATATATATATATATATCATCATTAATATTTTTAAAAACTGAAAGTGGAATCTCAACCAACACTCGGTTTATTTCCCAAGTGTCTCCGCCTTTCAAAAACAGCAAATTTGGAGAGGTTTTGACTTTTGGACTTTGGCTGCCCCGCAAAGTTTGTTACTTTGGTCAAAGGTTGCTGTTGCTACAAGCAACCGCGAAAAGCCGTCAAAGAAGCCATAAAAGTTCTGCCTACAAAGAAAAGAGAAGGAAAAGAAAGGTGTATCCTGCCTTAAAAGCAGACGCAGAACCAAACTGCTCCCAGGTTAAATAGTAGAGCACAAGCGCTCATAGCGTAGTGGTCTAGCACGTTGCGTCCGGATGTGAAAGTGAGTAGTTCGATCCCCTCCCGGTCATGCACTTTTGCAAAAAAGGGATTCGTTGCACTACAGCTGTCTCATCGATCGGGCGAAGACAAATCAAGCAAAAAGCGCTATTTTCATCAAAATATGTTAGCCTGAATATATAGGTAATTCTATTAAAGAGTAATGTTTACTATTTGGGCCAATAAGAGTCAAATTAATCGAAAAGCATCATTTTAATTGAGAACTGCGACATATTTTGTTTAACCTCTAAATTTAAGGTTTCCAAATTCACTGTTTTTTCAAATTTCACACGAACCTGATGTGAAAAGTGGTATGATAAGGGCATGTACTTGGTGGTGGACTGAGTTCGGCGCTCAAATAGCACTTCGACAAACCAACGAAGAGGAACTGTTCGGTGCCAAATAGCTTCGCATAGCTTATGTTTTGGGGCACCACTTCGCTTTCTACGCTGATCGATGTCAAAAATAAGGCGGCCAATGTGCACCAACCCCGCAATGCTTGCGAATACATCATAGAAGTTCTGAAAAATATGAAAAAACTGAATGAAAAGCAAACTTTTTTTAGGAAAAAAACGAATCGCAGACGAAATTTCACGAAAGAAAAAAAGACGGGTTACCAAACTTCCCGAAAAAAAAAAATAACAAAAGAACACTGAAATTTCTTAAGAAAATGAAAAGAAGGATGAAAAACACCAGGAACGCCAAAATTCGAGGACGATTGTTGCGAGAACCATATGTTAGTGATGGTGTTTACAAAAAAATATGAATTACATACATAAATACATACATACATATATATATACATACATACATACAT